CTCTGAGGTATTCTTACTGACCAAGGTCTTCATCGTCTTGATCTGGAATTTATTCAATGAAGAAAGACAACCTCACAGTGGTGAGTGAGTTTATTTTCCAGGGTTTCTCCAGCTTTCATGAACATAAGTTCACCCTCTTTGTGGTATTTCTTACCTTGTATCTCTTAACCCTGACTGGCAATGTCATCATTGTGACAATTATCAGTATTGATCGACACCTTCACACCCCCATGTACTTCTTTCTTAGTATGCTTTCCACTTCAGAGACAGTGTACACATTGGTCATTGTACCACGGATGCTCTTTAGCCTCATAGGGCTAAGTCACCCCATCTCCTTGGCTGGCTGTGCCACCCAGATGTTCTTTTTTATCACTTTGGCCATCAATAACTGCTTTCTGCTTACAGCAATGGGCTATGACCGCTACGTGGCTATCTGTAATCCCTTGAGGTACACGGTCATCATGAACAAGAGGATGTGTGCCCAGCTCATGTGGGGTGCCTGCAGCATAGGACTGCTCGTGGCCACAGTTCAGATTTCATCTGTGTTCAGGCTGCCTTTTTGTGATAGAGAGGTGGCCCATTATTTCTGTGACATCCGCCCGGTTATGAAACTCTCCTGTGCTGATACCACACTACATGACATAGTTAATTTTATCGTCAGCTCATTGGTTATTGTGGTGCCCATGGGTTTGGTCTTCATCTCTTACATCCTCATAATCTCCACCATCCTCAAAATTGCCTCTGCTGAGGGCCGGAAGAAGGCTTTTGCAACTTGTGCTTCCCACCTCACGGTGGTCGTCATCCACTATGGCTGTGCCTCCATTGCCTACCTCAAGCCCAAGTCAGAGAACACCAGGGATCAGGACCAGCTGATCTCAGTGACCTACACTGTTTTCACTCCACTCCTTAATCCTGTTGTGTACACTTTGAGGAACAAGGAAGTCAAGGATGCTCTTCGCCGTGTTATTGGCAAAAAATCTATTCCCTAAATTCTTTGGCAATTTAATGTACAGTCTATTATAGTCTGGGTATTTTTGTAAGCTCAAAAAATGTTTAATCCTATCATTCATTCTCTACCCAGAGAGAGTTGCAAAGTTTGGTGGTAAGCTGCATTAAAGAATTAAGAGTCTCTCTGACCTGACTCTCGTTTTCACCATCTTCTCCTGTATCTTCTACTGATATTGTAGATTACCACCCAAGGTACTGTCAGATGCTGCTCTCAGGGCAGAAAACTGGCTCTGAATCATAAGCAGGGAGATTGCTAATCATTATCAGTTTGTTGATGGCAGAAAAGTGGGCTGCAATACACCTACTTGAAGTGTTGGGTTGCAAGCTCAACCTAAAAGTCAGATAGATATAAGCTCTAAAACTTCAGACAGGACATAGTCAGTGTACAGTATGTGTCTGAAAAACAGTTGAAACTACCTTTCTCACTTATCGTCACTCTCTCCTGTAGGTGGTGGCAAGAGTTACAGATTTTGACATTCCAGAGTCAGAGAACACCAGGGATCAGGACCAGCTGATCTCAGTGACCTACACTGTTTTCACTCCACTCCTTAATCCTGTTGTGTACACTTTGAGGAACAAGGAAGTCAAGGATGCTCTTCGCCGTGTTATTGGCAAAAAATCTATTCCCTAAATTCTTTGGCAATTTAATGTACAGTCTATTATAGTCTGGGTATTTTTGTAAGCTCAAAAAATGTTTAATCCTATCATTCATTCTCTACCCAGAGAGAGTTGCAAAGTTTGGTGGTAAGCTGCATTAAAGAATTAAGAGTCTCTCTGACCTGACTCTCGTTTTCACCATCTTCTCCTGTATCTTCTACTGATATTGTAGATTACCACCCAAGGTACTGTCAGATGCTGCTCTCAGGGCAGAAAACTGGCTCTGAATCATAAGCAGGGAGATTGCTAATCATTATCAGTTTGTTGATGGCAGAAAAGTGGGCTGCAATACACCTACTTGAAGTGTTGGGTTGCAAGCTCAACCTAAAAGTCAGATAGATATAAGCTCTAAAACTTCAGACAGGACATAGTCAGTGTACAGTATGTGTCTGAAAAACAGTTGAAACTACCTTTCTCACTTATCGTCACTCTCTCCTGTAGGTGGTGGCAAGAGTTACAGATTTTGACATTCCAGAAGAAATATTATTAACTTTAAACATTCTCACCTATTTTGTAGACCCATTAAATTATTCTTTCCAATTTTGTTGAGGCTCATCATGTTAGAACTATATCCTCAGTGAAAGAAAAAAAATATAGCTTGGCGTAATGGCTATATCGCTGGACTCCCATGTAGTCAACTGCAGTTTGAGTCCTAGACCCAGTGGCTTAAACTCATGACGGGCGCATGTGCGTGTGCCCAAGACCCAAGAAGAGAATGGAGGAAAAGGGCCTTCCGTCCTGGGGGTGATTTCTTGCTTTCTGTCTCTCTGTCTCTCTCTGTCTTTCTGGCAAGGGCACATGCCCTACAGTAGAAACAACTAAAAAAAAAAAAAAAAAAAAAAAAAAAAAGAAAAAGAACTATTCCCTCAGTGTCTCAATTACCAGTATGTTCAATGTTAGTAAGCATAGCAAGCAACATGGTCACACCTAGCTTCTGAATTTCACTGCAGTTCTATAAGGGGACTTAAAAAAGTTTATGGAAGAAAGGAATTAAGTACAAGTTTATTTGGGGTGTCCAAATTTTGAAATCCGTGCATAGTTTTTTCATAATATGCATTTTCTATGACTGTTTAAAGAGCCCCTTCTATATGCTTTCTGTGGCAGTAACACGAATGTTGTACTGTATTCATAAATATAGGGATATATAAAAATATGTATTTATTTATTTACTTGTTTATTTATTTTTAGATTTTTACTATAGGGTTCATTCACTCACTGGAGATAGAGACAGTGAGAGGAAATGTGAGAAATCATCGCCCAGGGGGATGGTCATGCCACAGTCCCCTCTCTTCCATTTTTCTCTCAGGGTTCTGGGCTTGCACGCACATGTGCCTGGGTGATTTTCAAGTTGCTAGGTCCAGAACTTGAACTGCAGTTGTCCATGTGGGAGTCCAGCATCTTAACTACCACATCACCTTCTGGCTCTGAATCTTTTCTGAAAGGTGCATGCATATGCCAGACAGAGGCGGAGAGTGAGAGAAAGGGAGAAGCCCCCCTAATTGAGCATTGTCATGCCACGATCCCTTCTCTTCTCTCTCTCCACCCTGAGGAGTTGGGGCACGTGTGCACAGAAACACATGTATGGTCTGTTTTTCAAGCCACCAGAGCTAGAACAGGAACTGGACCATCAGTTTTATGGGATCTGGCTCCCTTAACCACTACACTAAGGAGCCAGCCCTTTAAAAATCTCTTTTGAAATTCAGTTTAAGAACACCACCTTCCAGCTAACTTTCACTATTTCAGATCTAGACATTGGCTTGCGATTTTCATTCTTGTCCATGTATACCATGACCTGATATCCTCTAAATTTCTACATCAGTGAACTTATTTTCTGTGAACAAGAGGGAACCTAGTTTATAAGTTTACACACTTGCCTAAAGAAGAAACTGTCAGTCTCCTAACTCCTGTTATTACAGCCTTCTAATGGGAAAGGTTACCTTAATTTGTGGGACATGCTTAATATTTTATAATTATTTGGGTTCGAGAAAAAAGGAGGCGGAACATGCTAATGTATTCTGGTCCATAGAGGGCTGATGTTAAAAAGAAGAAAACCCATGTCTGCCACCTACCAGGATGGACCACGTGTCCCCATTGACAGTGTATTGAAAGGGCAGGCCAGACAATGATCCTGGCGTCTCTAGGGGTAGAAGAGCCCAGAAGAGGCATCTTTGTGTTCATGGAAAGGGAGAAACCTGAAAGATGAGAAGATTCTCAGAACAGCTACCTCCAAGATGATAACCTGAGCGTGAATGCAAGGCGGGACCTCTGTGGGGAGCCAAAGAGGAGACGTGAGGAATGTGCAGGATGTGACCACCAGAATAAGACCAGGGTCTTTATCCGGACATGGCCTTGGGTGGCTGGATTGTTGTGAGCAGAATGTCCTGGGATAGTTTTGAATGGAATGTTCCAAAATATTGTTATAACAACCTGATAAATTCAGGAAGGACTTAAAACCTTACATCGCAGAAGTCTCTGGAGTGTGTATAAATACTAGCAATAAAGTACACTTGTGGCTGACCAGTACTGACTGGCAGTCCTTCCGTTTCTATCCTGTCTTCCTGTCTTTCTTTAATCCTCGCCCCCCAACTCAGGAATTGTTCGCCGTTGGCGGGTCCGACAGACCTCCAGGGCAGTTTATCTTTGCCTTTATCTAGGTCTTCTCAGAGGACCCTCTGAGCCCTTTCTAGGGTAAGTAAGAAGAAAACACTCTTACAACCCTGGTCCTGAGAAAACTCCTTTGAGATTCTCTCTTCCAGGGTCTTGCTCTCTATAGTAGCCCATTTCAGATAGCCTCTGCCAGTAGTCATGTCATTTTAATATACTGTTGCATTTGCATACACAGAATCCCCATGGGACCTTCCACTGCCACACAGGGCTGTGTAAGACTTGGGGCCAGTACTGAAGCAGTGTGTTCCCTTGAGTTCCTGTGGTCTGATGCTGGCAGAAATGATGGTACATTTCACCCATAATTTTTGCAACAGTACATAATGTATACTGAAGGCTTACTTATCTGCTGCCTTTCTTTTCTTTTTGCCAGAGGGCATGTGTATTCACCAGAGATAGACAAAGAGAAAGAGAGAAAGAGAGAGAGACTCTCCCCCCCCCCCACCGCGTCATGGGATATGGTCACACCAGAGTCCCTTCTTTTCGATCTCTACATCCTATTGAGACTTTGGGCATGCACATGTGCCTGGGTCCAAGCCACTGGGACCAAGAGTCTAACCATGGTCAGTTATGTGGGGTCCAACTTCCTTAGGCATTAGGAAATGGGGCCAAGCCTATCTGTTTTCTTTTTAAAATGTAGTTTACAGCATAATAACAGAGCCAGAAAAAAAGATAATAAAATCCATGCATTTAATTTCAAAGAGTATGTGATTATCAACTAAACATAAATCATGGCTGAAGAGAATGAGGCTTAAACCCACACCTTGGGCTTGATCACCACATAACCGTTCTCCACAAAATTCAGGGCCTGCCAGTTCAGAATATTGCTGCCATGACAAAAGGCACACATCTCCTTCAGGGGGAGCACATGATCCCACAAATGCACATCCCATATCTCCCCAACAAAGGATTGTTTTGCATCAAATTTTCCCCCAAAGGAATCCTGCTCTTGTCCCAAGATAATTTTTGCCTCTGCTCCCAATGAATACCCCTTCCTCAAGCCTTTTCTCCCCATGGGCTTCCCATCTACCCAGAACTCAGCAATCCCAGAAGCTGACTCCCAGCTTGCACAGACATGGACTGGAGCATTAGGATTGTGGGGTGCTTTGAAAGTAACCCCAACATTCCCGATGTATAACATGTACTCTTCCTTTTTGTGGACAAAGAGAAGCAGCTCGTTGTCCTGGGATGGAGTGTTGTAGGAGAACAGGCTGTAGGGACGCGTGAGATCCGTGAAGGCTTTCAGGCACAGTGTAAAGTTCTGCAGTGGCTTCTTCACCTTGGAAATCAGGGACACATAGGCTGTATGTGATTCTTCAGGGAAAATGAACACCTTCCCCTTCATGTCTGTGTAGAGAAGACAATGTGACAAGAATTCTGTCAATCCTCTTGTTTGATTTACTCTTACTGTGGACTCTAGGTGGTCTCCTACAGAGTATCTTCAGCACACTGGAGTTTACAACATGCCTACACGTGCATTATCTCAGACTATATAAGGAAAATGTCAGTGCTAAAAGGCAAGCTGGAGTCCAGCTGTCCTGTTAGAAAGGGAAATTAAAGATATCCTGTGTGAACCCCCATCTCTCTCTTTCCTGCAGAGTTCAAGTGGGTAGAACAGCAAACACCAGTCACAGGAGATGAAACAAATGGCTTACTGAGTGTAACAGATAAAACGTTGCACTCTCTTCCTCGCCGCTGATCAAATTCCAGGGTTTCTCCTAGGAGACACTGAGGCTGGAGTTAGATATAATGGGATTAGCTCATCTTGAACCTTGGTTTGTCTGTAATGGACCCACATTTTTAGTGGCTGCAAAATCTGAGGAATAAAATAGCGTGCAAAACCCTGGCCCAGACCTTGGTACCATCCTGGTCTTCCACTCCACTCATTTGCAGGTCTGCATGCCAGGTCAGGACCCATTCCCACTGCTTGTTTCCCCACAGCTACACCACCAGGGTCCTAGACTTATTTCCTCTTAAGACTCGTAAGAAAAGAGGAAGACTTAAACATTATAAAATCAACTGGTATTTTTCTTGTTTAAGAAAGCAAATTTAACAAATACTATGGTCTGGAAAGTAAATTAGAGGGACCAGCAGTTAGCGTAATGGCTATGTCGCTGGACTCCCACGTAGTCGACCGCGGTTCGAGTCCCGGACCCGGTGGCTTAAACTCACGCCGGGCGCGTGTGCGTGCGTGCCCAAGATCCCGAGAGGAGAATGGAGGAGAAGGGATTGCGGCGTGGCCATCCCCCCTGGGGGGTGATTTCCTGCTTTCTGTCTCTCTGTCTCTCTCTGTCTGTCTGGCGAGCGCACGCGCCCTATAGCAAAAACCTCTCAAAAAAAAAAAAAAAAGAAAGTAAATTAGAGAATAATGACTAACTGAATCAAAGGAGACATAGCCTCGAAGCACGATGAAATCTTGAATTAAGTTAGTTTTGCTTCATAACAGGAAATGAGAAAACAACTTGAATTTCTATTTCTTTTGATAGAAGGGCTTCTTACTTTTTAAAGAATGATTTTATTTAACTTTATTTATTCATTTTAATTTGATTGGAGAGGAACAGAGCAAGAGAGAGAGAGAAAGTAAGAAAGTACATTGCCAGGTCTGGGACTTGACCCACAATTGGCCATGTGGGAGTCCAGCACCCTTAACCACCACGCCACCTGCTGACCCCAATATAAGGGCTTCTTAAGAAATGGTCATTTTGGATAAAGAATAGGAACAAAGCACTTACCAAGAGGAAGCTAGGATGAGATTACAAAGAGAAAGGGGAAAAAAAAAAAACAGCTAAACTTTGGTCAATATGACAGGAACTTGGAAGAGTGGAAAGTAAACCATGTATTTGTATTCTGGGATCCAATGATATCTTGTCAGTGTGTAAACCCAGAGCAACATAGTACGGTTAGAGTCAGATTTTGAATAACTTATTACTGATAGCAATATGATAGAGAAATGAGTCTCAAACTTGAAAGGGTGCATTTGTTTTTAGTAGCAGTAACAGAACAAAAATGAAAGGGAGGCTGAATCATATACTGCTAGTAAGAACTAGTTTTTTTAATACCATTTACATATCACAAAGTACATTTTACTTTGAACTGATCTCACCCACTTATGGGTGGCTGCACATCAGCGAATATTGCTGGTTTCTCAGAAAGCAAACAATTAGACAATGCCAAAAGCCATGATTCGCTTTCCTTCAAAACCTGACCTTCAAAACCATACTCTGATTGGCCACTAGAATCCCTCAGATTTGCATATCTGGCACCTCATGATTGGTCCAAAAGCAACCAATCATAACCCACCGTTTACAACCAATCACGGCCCACCATTTACAACCAATCACGGCCCACCAGCATGTATATAACCACGATGCCTGGCCCATAGTAGCCAAACGACGACCCTGGAAAGCCTCAAGAGCTGAAACACCGCACAGTCTCCAGACGACCCTGAAGATCCTGAAGAGTTGTAACACTACATCATCTCCGGACAACCCTGAAGAGTTGTGACACCACGTCTTCTCCGTGACAATAGACAATGCGACCCTGAAGAGTTGTAACACTGTGTCATCTCCATGCTGTACCTTGCTGCCCACAATAAACAGACGACACTGAAGACACTGTGTTGTCTCCGTGCTGTAACACTACACCTCTTGTCCCAGCTCTCATTCCTTCACTCAAGAAACCTGTTCGACTGTCCCCCTGGGTCGGGACACCCACTCATCACACTAACTTTTCTAGATGTCACTTTTATTGCCCATTGTATTGATGAAGAAACTGAGAGTCGGGATGTGGGAACTTAACAAAGACTATTCAGTTATTTGGGAGAAACTGTTTATCTGATTTAAAGTCCGAGCTACTTCTGAGATTTCACATTTCCTCTCATGTTACTCAGACTAGGTGCTCAAGAAGGATCAGAAAGAGAATAGTTCTCCTTTTCTAGCAAAACCACACATCCCTTATATATTCACTCAGATGGGAGGTAGCAGTGTGGTCATATAACAAACAAAGCCAGTTCTTCTTTCTCCAGCTTTGTTCCTTATGCCAGGAGTATCAGTATTCATCAACACCTGTGGTGGTTTTAAAAATATGTCCAGAAATAATTCTCCTCCCCTTGCGTGTGGGCTGACTTAGAGCAGGAGTGAGGTATGTGGTTTCTAAGCTTAAATTAGGAAGAGGCTATGGCTTCTGTGTTGGACATGTTCTTTCCCTTGGTTGGAGTCCTCTCTGTTGGAGAAGCCAATTGTCATGTTGTGGAATGCTCTAAAGAAGGGTCCATGCTGCAAGATATTAAGTTAGGCCTATGGCCAATGGCCAGTTGGGAACTAAGGTTCTCTACCCGCCATTTTTAAAAGAGCTGAATCCTGACAATAGTTACATTAGTGAGGGTAGAGGAAGATCCCCTTCTTCTTTGAGCCTTCAGATGAGACTACAACCAACCCCGGTTCATTGACATCAACCTCATGAGAAACCTGGAATCAGAATCATCAACTATGCCACTTCCATTCTCCTGACCACAGAAACTATTAGACAATGAATGTTTGTTGTTTTGTTTCTAAAGTTTGAAGTAAATCGTTATGTAATGAAAGATAATGTATACATCACCCTTACTTCCTGAAAAGAGCAGCAGCAATGACAAGAGAAGCTACAGTATTCTCTAGTCCTCCTTAGACTTGGAGAAGACTTTCCTACCAGGCTCAGTGCCTACCTGATTTTGTCACACCTCCTGAGGGGATGGCAAGGAACAGGAGACCCAGAAGAAGCTTCACCATCGCACTGCGTTTGGGTCTTCACTAAGAGTGGAAGGACAGCAGCTGTTGTCTCAATGGAAAGATGTTTACTGTTTGGCTCCTTATATAGTGCTCTGAGTCCTTTATTTTAACAGAAGGCAAAGTTATAAATGGTAAATATTAACTGAACCAGGATATGGTTTCAAAGCCAATTTTTGATCTATTGTTTTTGTTATCAGTCTTTCCTTTCTCTCTTAATTATTCTATTTCCTTCTGAAGTCCAGCTCAAGACCCCTGACCCATCCCATAGGCAATATGACCTCCTGAAAAAATGTAGTATTACCCTTTCTGTGTGGGGAAACTGTGGTAGTCCATTGTTAGGACAAGGTAGGATGAGAATACTTGTGGACCTGTTGGAGGAATCATGCCCCTCCTTTGTTTAAGGGCTCGGGTATCACTAGTAGAGTAAGGACGTTTATAGTTTCAGGTGCTGTGGAGTTCAACGTAGTTGTTATGTGGAGACACCCTGGATCACAGCAGAGTAGAGATTAAGCCCTTATGCTCTTGATGGTGAACTTTCCAAGTTCTCTATAGAGGAGATCCTGGATATTGGTTTCTTTAAATAGTACCCTTCATCTAGAGTCACCTGGGTAAAGCTAGGAAATCTGGAGCTTAAATAAAGAGTCTGTGAAATTGACAATCTTGAGTTTATCCAAGCACTATGAATATTATTTAGATACTGGGAAAAATCTATGTTGTAACTGAGATTCCAAGTCTTGGTTCTGGTCAGCTGGAGAGACATACCAGCCAGCCGGCACGCACAAATATATGCACATATATATTTATGTGAAGAAATTATTTTCAAAATTTCTTAGGGAATTTTTGGTGTTTCATGGTACTATAAATGTAATTTTAAAATTAAAGTAGAGAAAGAAAGGGATATTTCTTTAGGTCAATTTGAAATGATGGTGCTGATATAGCACATGTATACATCACCCTTCCTTCCTGAAAAGAGCAGCAGCAATGACAAGAGAAGCTACAGTATTCTCTAGTTCCCCTCAGACTTAGAGAAAACTTTCCTATCAGGCTCAGTGCCTGCCTGATTTTGTCACACCTCCTGAGGGGATGGCAAGGAGCAGGAGACCCAGAAGTTATGTTATGACCTGAAAATGTAATTTACAACCCTAACTATTTATAAATGTTTCTCCTAGTGGTTTTTGTTGTTGTTGTTGTTTGTTCCTTCTTTTGTTGTCAATAAAAAAAAAAATGTGAGTTGCTGGGTTTCATGTTTTTTATTGCACATTATAAGACTTGAGCATCCAAGAACATATGGATCATAGAGAACATAGAGGTCATAGTTTCCCCACAACTCAATCGCCAGCATCTACCACTATGATTAAATTTGCCATAGGAGACCTGAAACTATTTATGGAATGAACTACTCTAGTGTTTCCATGTTGATGAGAAGAAAGGAAGTTGTATGAGTTAAGATTCAGTTGCAAACAACAAAAGTCACTGGAGTTAGTTGTGGCAGTCTATTTTTACTTAATTATGCTGTGCAACAAACCACATTCAAACTCAGTTTTTAAAACGATAAACATTTATTTAGCTCATGACTGTGTGGGTTGGTGATTTGGGCTTAGTGATTATTTTGGTCTCAGCAGGGTGATTAGCAGCAAGTGGGCTAATTTTTGGACAATAAATAGCATGAGTAAGAAATGAGGTGACTAGAATTAAAGAATTTTAAGGTCCTTGTCTTGTTTGAATACTTTTTTTAAAAAATTAATTTGCTTATTTCATGAGTGAGAGAGATGGAAAGAGAGAGCCAGACAAAAACCTAGAACAAGTCTTAACACTGCTGTCCACCCAGAGCTCCAACCAGCTACTGTCAGGGGCACATGCATGCCTGACATACTCAGGGAACTCTCTGGACTTGAACCCAGGACCTTCCCCCATGAGTCAGCCTTCCAGAGTGTCCCATTTTATCTCTGTGCTACTATCAGCACCATAATTTCAGATTGACCTAAAGAAATCTTCCTTTCTTTCTCTCCTTTAATTTTAAAATTACATTTATAGTACCATGAAACACCAAAAATTCCCTAAGAAATTTTTAAAATATTTTTTCACATAAATATATATATTACATATTATATATTATATATATATTTGTGTGTGCCAGTTGGCTAGCATGTCTTTCTAGCTGACCAGAACCAAGACTTTGAATCTCAGAGTTGGCCATGTGGGATCTAGCTGCCTCAACCACAGATTACCAATTGGCTCCCACTGCTCATTTTTCCATAATAGGAAATAAATAAATTATTTCCTATAAAATGTATTACTTTAGATCAATACATTGCAGTTAAAGTTTATGCAGTAAGTTAATTATATTAGTCTTTTATTAATATCCATAATGCATATATAAAGACAAATTTGACTCATTGAATAAGTGCTTCACATTATTGAATTAATTTTAACTTGACTATGAAAGAGCATGTTTTATGGACATATTCAAAATGTTATGTTATATACCCACATGTGATTCAGGCAAAAATATATATGTATTAAAATGAAAATTGAAATTAACTACTTTTTTCTACATTCAAACTGTATGAAAATTTCTTTGATAATTTTGATTTTGTCTCTGATATTTAAAGCCTAAAAATTGTTTTTTTCCCAAATAATATTCACATTTACTTTCCAAGGGTTTAATTAAGTGCTAAAGACATTTCAATGTACTATATTAAATATTTACTAGATTAAGATATTCTTGACAATCAATATGGATAAATTTCAAAAGAATACATAGGTAACCTTAAAATCATACTATATATTTAGAGATACAGACTGTGTAGTAAGGTATAAACATGGAAAGGAATAATCCACATACATTCCGTATTGTTATTACCTCTGAGGTTAGAGGAAGATAGGAAGGGAGAAGAATAGGGTGAATTTCTGCTTATATCCATAATGTTACTACTTGTAGAAAGAATTAGGGAAATATTACCATGGTATGATCGATACACGATGTCCAATATATAATTTTATGACTTTCCTTGACATGATTATCTTTAATTTTCAAGATAATCTTCATGTGAATTTTTGGTGATCATATTTATGCTCCTCATTAGGTAATTATATTTCAACATGAATGCTCCTAATGATTTGTAACTTTAACCAATGACCTACTATGGATGGATATGAAACTAATTTGTGACAAAGAATAAAAAACATGTGAAGAGGTTTAGTGGTCAAAACTACTCATACTGCAATGAGTGACTGAGTCATGAGCAAGTAGTCCTGACCTCCACTAAGATCTGCTCTGCTGATATCCACATGGAGGTTGTCAATAGACTCCATGTTAAGGGAACAAGGTCAAGAAACACAGGGTCTTCTCCCTCACTTGCATTTCTAAGTCCACAGTCAACCAGCATAGTGAACAATGTCAATTTCCCAGTGAGATATCAGTCCTTCATATTTTTACAACATCCCAGGACTTGGAAGTACAGATAAAATATGCCAGAGAGGCTGTGCCCTCCTAAAGACACAAAGCCAGGTTCTTTGTTTGACATGTTATTCTTCCTCAGGGTGAAAACAGAAAATGAGAAATTACAAGAGGTGGGGCAATTGCAGCACCTGAAACAAGTACTCAAGGAGGAAAAGTCATTTCTTTTTTAAAATTTTCTAGAGGGCATGTGCACTCACCAGACAGAGATAGAGAGATGGAACGTGAGAAAGCCCCCCCCCACCACCACCACATACAAGGGGATAGTCACACTGCAATCCCTTCTCCTCCATCTTTCCCTCCTTTGGGGATTTTGGGCACACACACACACACACACACACACACACACACACACATGTGTGCACGCTCAGCCTCCTCATCTGGGACTCCAACCATGCAGTCGGCCATGTGTGATCCAGCAGCCTTAACCACCATGCCACTGGCTGGCCCAAGAAAAAAATATTATATCCATTTCCATATATATTTTTCATCTATACTTGATTCCTATCAGCTGGAACAAAAGCACATGCAACAAGAGTAAAAATGAACAAGTAGGACTATGTAAAACTACAGAGCTTTTGTACAGCAAAGGAAAAACATAAACGAAATGAAGAAGCAGCCTATAGAAATAGCCACAAAGTTGGTAAAGGGTCATTACTCAAAATATGTAAGGAACTAACACAACTCAGCAGCAAGAAAACAAATAGCCCAATTAAAAAACTGGCAAAGGTCCTGGCTAGACAGTTTTCCAAAGAGGATCTACAAATGTCCTACAGGTATATGAAGTAAATGAAGAGGTACTCAGCATCACTAATCGTCAGGAGAATGCAAATCTATAGCACAATAAAGCCCAGCTGAGGTAGTACAGGTAGTGGAGGAAGGCAGGTGGTATCCTGCAGGCCTGGTTCAGTTCCCAAATCAGTCTAAAGCAGCCAGGTACAGCAGGGATTGTCTATAATCCTTGCTAATGGGGAGGGTGGGGCATGTGGATCCTGGCATGGAGAGACCTTGCTGAAAATACGTCTCTTTCTCTCTCTCTCTCTCTCTCTCTCATTAAAATACAAAAGAACAAAATGCCTAGTGAAATATTACCTTACATCTGTTAGGATGACTATTAACAAAAAGAAGCAAGAAAAACAAGTGTTGATAAAGATGTTTAAAAAAAAGGAAATCCTTGTATACTACTGGTAAGAATGTAAATTAAACAGCTATTATGGAAAACAGTGTAGAGTTTCCTCAAAAACTTTAAAATGGAAACTGGGTCAGGAGGTGGCACAGTGTTAAGATGCTGGACTCCCACATGGCTGACTAAGGATCAAGTCCCAGTCTTGGCAGCTTGAAACTCATGCCAGGCACATGTGCATGTGTGCCCAATATTCTGAGAGGAGAATGGAGAAGGAATTGCAGCATGGCCATCCCCCCAGGGAGTTATTTCTTTCTTTCTTTCTCTCTCTGTCTCTCTGGGGAGCACCTTATAGCAAAAATCTCTCAAACATTTAATAAAAATAGAAACTACTGTATTATCAAATAACCCCTTTGGAAAATAAAATCAGTACTTCAAAGAGAAGCAC